ATTGGTTGTTTTTGAGCAAGATGCTAATGGTCTAATCCAATTCAATGACCTATAAGCTAAGCTACACATGCTTAGCTAAATGGACTTACAAATGGCAAAACTCGACTGTTCAACTTTAAGGGAATTGTAAAATGAGCCTGTTTCTCAAAGAAAAGTTACTTTAATATTCAAAAATTCTCATATTTTATTTTCAAAACAAACAATGCATTCTGGACTACAGATAATCATTTTCTCATTTACATCAGGATGGTTTTCCACAATTTTGATGCTATTTTATGAAATAGCTCAGTGCTTTTATCATAAATTCCAGGGGATTTCTCATAAAAATTGCATTATTCTGTCTAAATGTGCATACATCAAATCAATAGGCTGAAAATCAAACAGTGAGGGATGGATCTTGTGGATTATTGAGGGTTACGGACTTGAGGACCAATGGCTTGACTGTCAAAGAGTTTGCCTGAGGTTTGTGATCTGGAGCATTGACTTTCATATCAACTGCATAGTAGTAATACAAAGTTGCTTGAGTACAGCTCTCAATTGCATAGTGATGCTTCATCACATGTATGTTAAATCCTATCTTTTTGTTTTTCTTCAGGAACCCACCATTAACACTTCACAACAGCATAAACGTGGGATCTGGATTCCTTCGACTGTGCGGGAAAGCTCAGCTGCTTCGCTTTGAGTATTAGAGGTATCTCCAAAGATGATAATGACAACATTGTGAATGTTAGAAACACTGAAATGTGCATCATTCACTGTAGTAATAAATAAATTGTAATAAGTATCGGAATGAAATAGAAGACATACATATCACACACACACACACACAGTCTACCCTGTTTTCAAGAGGTACTTACAGATGTACAGTGGTCCATTTTAACAAGACTGACCCTTCCCGAAATGAAACACTGAGGAAAGATTTAAGGTGATGTGTGTAATGTTCTTTCAAATAAGGATTGGTTCACCAACAATGACTTTTGTAACTCGCAATAATGAATAACACATTTTTTATGCCAACCCAGCAGGCACAACTCGTCAACATGATGTCTGATTGACGTTGTAACCCAACGTCGAGGGAATGTTGCATCTTGTTTGGAAATGAAAATCGGGTTGACATCAGAACCCAATGTCCAACCTAAAATCAACCAAATATCAACGTCTAATGATGTTACAGCTAGACGTTGTGTGGACGTGATCACTATGACCTCTATCAGACGTTAGATTTTGGTTGCCATACCTGAAGATTAAGACGTTGGATTTTGGTAACTTGCCAACAAAACCTAAAATCAACCAAATATCAACGTCTAATGATTTTACAGCTTGACATTGTTTGGGCGTCACTACTAAGACCTCTATCTGATGTTGGATTTTGGTTGCCACACCTGACAAATAAATGTCAGTATTTGACGTCAATATGGCGTTTGTTTAAGATGTTGGCTCGACGTTGGATTTTGGTCACTTACTAACACAACCTAAAATCAACCAAATATCAACGTTGAATGATGTTACAGCTTGACGTTGTGTGGACGTGATCACTATGACCTCTATCAGACGTTAGATTTTGGTTGCCAACCAGACAAATAAATGTCAGTATTTGACGTCAATATGACGTTGGATTTTGGTCACTTACTAACACACTCTAAAATAAACCAAATATCAACGTCTAATGATGTTACAGCTTGACGTTGTGTGGACGTGATCACTATGACCTCTATCAGACGTTAGATTTTGGTTGCCATACCTGACGATTAAATGTCAATATGACGTTGGATTTTGGTCACTTGCCAACAAAACCTAAAATCAACCAAATATCAACGTCTAATGATGTTACAGCTTGACATTGTGTGGGTGTCACTACTAAGACCTCTATCTGATGTTGGATTTTGGTTGCCACATGTGACAAATAAATGTCAGTATTTGACGTCAATATGGCGTTTGTTTAAGATGTTGGCTCGACGTTGGATTTTGGTCACTTACTAACACAACCTAAAATCAACCAAATATCAACGTTGAATGATGTTACAGCCTGATGTGTGGACGTTACCACTATGACGTCTATCAGACGTTGAATTTTGGTTGCCACCCAGACAAATAATTGTCAGTATTTGACGTCAGTATGATGTTGATTTAAGATGTTGGCTCGACATTGAATTTTGGTCACTTACCAACAAAACCTAAAATCAACCAAATATCAACGTCTAATAATGTTACAGCTTGACGTTGTGTGGACCTTACCACTATGACCTCTATTAGACATTAGATTTTGGTTGCCATTCCTGAATAAATGTCAGTATTTGACGTCAATATGGCGTTGGTTTAAGATGTTGGCTCTACATTGGATTTTGGTCACTTTCCAACACAACCTAAAATCAACCAAATATCAACTTCAAATGATGTTACAGCCTGACGTGTGGACGTTACCACTTTGACCTCTATAAGACGTTAAATTTTGGTTGCCATACTGACAAATAAATGTCAGTATTTGACATCAATATGATGTTGGATTTTGGTCACTTACTAACACAACCTAAAATCAACCAAATATCAACGTCTAATGATGTTACAGCTTGACGTTGTGTGGACCTTACCACTGTATCGCCTATCAGACGTTAAGATTTTGGTTGCCATATCTGACAAATAAATGTCAGTATTTGACGTCAATATGACGTTGGTTTAAGATGTTGGATCGATGTTGGATTTTGGTCACTTTTCAACACAACCTAAACACCCAAATATCAACGTCATTTGATGTTGCTATTGGACGCAAAATAACGTCCATAAACGCTGACTAGACATTGAATTTTGATCACCTGACGTCAGGACCTAAATCTAACCTAATATTAACCTTTTATGACATTGTGTGCCTGCTGGGAATGTACTAATGTGCTTGGACCAATTTGTTTAGCTACTCAATGACCGATATACTATAGGTTCATTAGTTAAAGGTAGCACTTATGTTTAATTTATCCCAATTATGTATATTTGTGGTTAATGCAATACCTGCCGAAATAGAATGGAACTCTTAAAGTGGTGATTTTGCTCAACTTGGACCTGTTTCCATCTGGTATTAAAATGCATTTTCAGGATTACAATCACTTGTGGAAGATACTAAATACTAGGAGCTTTTTTTGTTTTTCTTCTGGTCTTCTTGATTATGATCATCATCATGTCAATGATTTGATATGCATGTGTCTGTATGATGAGAGTGTTGGCTTCAATGGATGGCAAAACCTGTGGATTGTCAACCACAGAATAGGGCTATATATTTTTTACTGTGAAAGCTGCCACGAATGTGGTTATTGTCTTCCATTTATCTGAGCTGGTATCATTTGATGTGCTAATGCTAAGCTATGTCATCCTTGGCAAGTGTTAGCATCTCAGAAAGAAAGCAGCTAGCATGATTTCTTAAGTTAGTAATGTCTTGTTCAGTTTTTTTCTTAGTAGTTTGTTTCTAAAAGCCAATATATGTGCAATTTTAAAATGTGCAATTGCCAATTCACACTATTGTGACAAGCACATATGTGATGAATAACGTCAGAGAAATATTTGCAGGCTGTAATTGGCTTATTATCCATCCATACAGAATCATATGCATCATGATGCACCATTGGAAACAATTGAAACTTGAAAATGTATTCATTCTCCTTTGGCTTAGTCCCTTGTTTATCAGGGGCCGCCACAGCGGAATGAACTGCCAACTATTCTGGCATATGTTTTATGCAGCGGATGCCCTTCCAGCAGCAATTACTGGGAAACACCCATACACTCTCACATTCACATGCATACTCATACACTACGGCCAATTTAGTTTATCTAATTCACCTGTAGCGCATGTCTTCGATGTGGGGGAAAAAGGAGCACCCCCGCCAACACGGGGAGAACATGCAAACTCCACACAGAAATGTCAACTGGCCCAGCCAGGACTCAAAATAGTGACCTTCTTGCTGTGAGGTGACAGTGCTAACCACTGAGCCACCTTGCCACCCCACGATTGAAACGTTCCTACTAAAAACATTTGTATTCGCCCCTAAAGTGTTTTGAGCTTGTCCACTTTGGACACTTTCAGATTCCTTTAGTTGGCTTGCTTTCATAGTGTACATGTTGATATGACTGAATGCATTCAAACAGCCAGAAAACACCACCTATGCTGCTTACTGAGCATGTGGTTGTTTTGGGAAATTTGTTTAGTTAAATTTCATTTTCATCTGCTTTTCCGGGGCCGGGTCCAAGGGCAGCAGTCTTAAGAGAGAACTCCAGACTTCCCTCTCCCCAGACACTTCTTCCAGCTCCTCCGGGGAGGATCCCAAGGCGTTCCCAGGCCAGCAGAGAGACATAGTCCCTCCAGCGTGTCCTGGGTCTTCCTCGAGGGCTCCTCTCGATGGGACATGCCTGGAACACCTCCCTAGGTAAGCGTCCAGGAGGCATCCAAAACAGATGCCCGAGCCACCTCAGCTGATTTCTCTCGATGTGGAGGACCAGCGGCTCTACTCCGAGCTCCTCCTGGGTGACAGAGCTCCTCCCTTTATCTATAAGGGTGAGCCCTGCCACCCTGCGAATGAAACTCATTTTGGCCGCTTGTATCCGAGATCTTGTCTTTTTGGTCATGACCCAAAGCTCACGACCATAGGTGAGAGTAGAAACGTAGATTGAGCGGTTAATTGTGAGCTTTGCCTTTCGGCTCAGCTCCTACTTTACCACAACAGACCAGTACATTGACTGTATTACTGCTGCCGCTGCACCAATCCGTCTGTCAATCTCACGTTCCATCCTTCCCTCACTCGTGAACAAAACCCCAAGATACTTAAACTCCTCCAGCTGGGGTAAGGACTTTCCTCCAGCTTTGGGAAATATACAAGTTATTCATACTTAAATATCACATATACATTGCATGACTTAATGATTGGACCAATTAAAATGCATGTTAATAACAAGGGCTTCGTTGAGCTTTCAAATGTCTACATCGAAATCGGTGAGAATTTGGGATGGGAGTGCCTGTTTGATTGAGCGATGGAAGACAGGGGTTGTCTTTGCAGTCTAAAACTGGCACAGACATTACACACTTCACCTTTAAATTACTATGAAACACTTTTGTTAATGTGCAATTGCCGTGGTATTTCCATTTGAGTGTAAATATGCAGCATTGTCACTGCTCCATACAGGAGGGATTTCTCTCTGGAAGTGTTCATCCTGATTGTTTCATACATGCATTTGCTAAACCTTTACATCATTGCACATCTCATAGAAATAGCACACAATTTCAATCATTAAATATAAAACCAAAGCACGACTTTCCAGTGACAAAGGCAACCTTTTCTCTTTTTTTCGAATTTGTACACTACTTGCGTTGCCATATAGACTAAGCACACGGTAAGTGCCCTGTCGTTAACAACAAGCATTCCCAGGTCCAGTGCGGGACCACACTGGTTTTAAGAGGTAACATATACATTAAACAGTACAGTGACAGCAGCAGAGGGCAGAGACTGGTCGGTTTAGTCGAGACGTAATGGAGCTGCGGAATATCCTTATTGACCTTTTGGCTCAGTTGAGGAGTTTGCAGTTTAAAAATAAGAAAAAAAAAAAGGCCAATGTGACCGGTAAAGGTGAGTATTGTGTCTGATCGAGCATGATAATGACGAGGAGGTCTCCTGCTCCTGTGTTCTCAGGCCGTGAAGATGCAGATGATCCACACCATCCCTGAGTTCCTAGACAAGTATCAACCCGTGTAGCATTGCGATAAGCTATATAAAGCCTTTAGGAGGTCAGAGAAGTGTGTCTGAATGTGCTTTGAAACAATATCTAAGAGTACATCCACAGTAATGACCTTCCTCCAATAGGTCTCCAATAGAGGCCTTGTCCCAAATGGCACCCTCAGCCCTTGAAGTCCACACTTTGGTGTTGTAATGCCACACAGACAATCAGGTATTGGTTTGTTTCCAAATCCAGGCTTAACTAAAGGGTGTACTGAGGGGCATAGTGAAGGTTGCATCCTTGTAAATATTGACAAATAGGATGTGGTCAAGGTCTAGTTGACCTTAAACTGCATTAGCTAAAACCACAAGACTGCAAGCCCACGTAGATTTCACGATCTGGGTCAGCGGCATTCAAACAGCATTTAAGTAAGTTGTCGTTTCAATAAACATATAGGGTAATGATCATAGGCTGGGTGTCCATCTTGCTCCAGGAGGACCAAAGATTTCCTTCAATTTACACTGGCTTAAGGTTGAGTTACATTAGTTGCATCCCAATTGACACACTCTACATTATGCACCGATACACTGTGCATTTATACACTCAACTATGTAGTGTATGACTTTAGTATCCTCTCAAATTTGTAATGAAGGGAAATCCAAACAGTTTCCCATATGACGTTTAATGTTGCCAAATTTGAAAAAGAAAAAAGACCAAACTTCCTTATAGTACCTGTCATGTGTACAACCGAATTTACCTTCGGTAGGTGGCATAATTGCTAAAGTAGGAGAATTTTGCATGCACAATCCAAAATAAATAAAATTAATCCAACCCTTAGAGCTCGATAGCTCTTTTCCTTCCGCTTAGTTAGCGATGCTGCAACCGTTGAGTGCAACATACCAGACTTCTGTTTATCAGTTGAATAAGTGCATCATCCAGTTATTTAAACTGCACCTATTCCTTTTAGAATTGTTCAGTAAGAGTTAACAACTTACACTATATATACTATGAAATGGCGTAAATAGTTTAGAAGTATGTGACTTGGGACACACCTAATGAATACCTTGATTAGATATTTCAAGATTGTTTTTAATTAAGATTGTGAATAAACTGTTGAAGAAGGTGGTCCTCTAGGACAGGGGTCACCAATCTCGGTCCTAGAGGGCCGGTGTCCCTGCAGGGTTTAGCTCCAACTTGCCTCAACACACCTGCCTGGATGTTTCAAGTATACCTAGTAAGACCTTGATTAGCTTGTTCAGGTGTGTTTAATTAGGGTTGGAGCTAAAATCTGCAGGACACAAGCCCTCCAGGAACAAGTTTGGTGACCCCTGCTCTAGGAGAAAGATTGGACACCCCTGGACTGTAGTAGGTGTTGGCATAGGGTAACATTGAGTCAGTGTGTGGACCTGCATGGTGCCTGTGATCCACAGGTTTGACTAGGCCATGCAGAAAGCCCATGGTGAGGTAGTTGGTTCTGTGAAAAAATGAGCTAGTAGTGACCCAATTTAAGGTCCTGGGAGGTGAGCCAGAGATGCAGGTAAATTCCAGCCAGTCAGTCTGGCAGATTTGAACAGTAGGCTGAGTGTGGAGTGTGGCTACACGTCTCACTCCTGTCACTGTAAGGTCCGTGTGCAAACAGAGAACCCCCTTAATTGAAGGGTCTTTAAAGAAAGATGGCAAAAAGTCTGAGCCTTGAAAATAAAGTAGACAAGTCTTCTAAAACATGCTTACAGACAGGGAAGAGTATTTGTCTTTTGATGAATGTCAGAACTTCTTATAAGTTCAGATAATCATGTAAATCAAGTCATGTTACATATAGGGTTATTCATACTGACAGCAATTCAATCACCTCTGAGGAGTTTGGCAAGTCGCCATATTGTCGGTTTCTAGTAGGCATTCCTACTTGACCAGAGATGATAGTTGAGGACTCAGGTCCAGCTTTCTCTTCTGACCACCATATGGGAAGATCATCTACATGATCCCTGCTCTTAGACTTTTCACTTAGGTCATAGCGAAAGGGATAAGGCGGTTCTTGAAAATGTCACTGTAGTAGTCTACTAAACATTGCCCAGCGCTGGTGTTATTTGTTCGCACGGTTGACTACAGTATTCCACCACCCTTGGAGGTTCCAAGGAATTGTCTGTCTTGTAGAGCAACCTCATCTGCAATATCCAACTGTATCAGACAGCAGATCACTCCCAGCAGTAGTCATACCTTGCTTTGCTGCCTGAAGTTGTCAATGTTGTTGCATTGCAGCTCTTGGTCTTTCATGCTGATTCAAATCTGCTCTTGTAAAATGAAGTCCAGAGCTAACATCACTCCAAACGGCTATCAGGGCGAGCTCCTTGAAACTACAAGACCATAACATTCCTATCGCAGTTACAAGTGATCAAGATCATTATTCTTCAAGAATTGCAGTTTCTTCTCAAAGGTTGCACTGTGAGCTGTGCTTGTTAGGGGAGCTTCATAAACAGTCCGTTGTCCATAGAGGGAACGGACATGGGGAATGAAAACTGGAACAGACTCATATCAGCAGTGAGCGCCGCCATTGCAGCAGGATCGTGTTCAATCTGGTTTCTCAACGATGGGTCGATCTTCTCCAAGCGTCGCTTGAGCCTCTTGGCCTCCCGCTCACGGATTAGCCGTGCCTGCCTTTTCTCTGGTGTCTCATTAGCCCGTTTGAGTCGCATGGCTTCCCGGTCACGTTGTAGACGACGTGACCGTTGCTCGTCACTCTCTTGCATCCTTTGCATTCGTTTCGCCTCACGGTCTCGTAACCGTCGCATCTCTCGTTCCTCCGGTGTCTCGCATGCCCGTTTTGTCTTTTTGGCTGTTCGCTCCCGTTCCAGCCGCTGCATCCGCACCTCCACGGGTTCGTTCTTCCTACGGATCGCCCATTTCCTCATAGACGGCGACTGGGCATCCACGAGCTGCTGGTAGGCTACACAGCTGTTGCAGACCAGCAAAACCCCAGCTGGGTACACGGGCATTGGGTTCATGAGGTCTGGAAGTGGTGGAAGGCCCGTGCTGGAAGGACTGAGGCTGTCAGAGAGTGATGGAAGAGGCGGAGCAGAAGGGAGAAGTCCATCTGGCATTGAGGTCAGTACAGGACCTGGATTTGGGCTGGGGTTTGTAGTAGGACTTCTGGGTAGAGGGTTGGACATGGCGCAGGACTCACCATCGCTGTTGATCTCTATACTGCTTGTGTCGAGGAATTCCTTCAACTTTTCCCTACATTTACAGACCAGGAAACAGAACAGTTTCTTTTAAAAGCATCCTGATGAAATAATGGGTTTCATTTACTGCAGACATGCACATGCACTCAACAGAGCAAGTGACGTCACTGTGAGGGGTAGGGTTAGGGACGGGGTAGGCGCAGGCTTTAAAAAGCTAATAGTGTCTTAAAGTGCACGTGCAGAAAGTCAGTACAAAATTTTAGTACAAAAGATTTTAATGAATCATGACTTAACATCTCTACGAACATTGTATGTTTAGTGAATGAGACCTAATGTCTTGAGTAAAACGCTGACCTGTTGAAGTTGTTGGTGTCTGTAAAGTGAGCTCCACACACTGCACAGTTGGACAGACGGTCCTCTGAATGGATGAGAAGATGACGGCCAAGAGAGCCTGGAGAACTGAGAGCTCGTCCACAAACAGGACAGATATAACTCTTACTGCCACCCACAGCCGTGTGCTGTTCACAGAAAATGAGACACAAGAGAGTTCAAACATCGTCTCTTCAGCTGAGATGAATGTAAAGGACATTTCAAAAATGACAAAATAGTTAGTAATAAACGTGTTCATTGATTTCAATGGAGACTACAGCTTGCAAGCTTCTAAAAAGAGTGCAAAAGTACTATGTGTATGGTAAATGGTAATATATGTTTGAAAACACACACAAGATTAAAGTGAACTTCTACTTTGAATTGAAGGCTGGAATACACTGGACACATTTTTGATGCTAGCTCAGAACCAGTCTTTAAATGCTTCACATTTTTGGGGGGATGCTCCACCTGGATGAAGTAATGGCAGCCATATTGCACCAGGCCGCACACCACACGCCAGCTGATTGGTGAAGAGGAGACAGAGCGATAAAGCCAATTATGATAGGAGGCCATGATGGACAGAGGTCAGTCAGCAAATTTGGCCAAGAGGCCAGGGTTAAACCCCTACTCTTTTTTGAAGGACATCCTGGGATTTTTTTTAACGACCACAGAGAGTCAGGACCTCGGACATCTTATCAAAAGACTGAGCACTGTAGAGTCCCCAACTATACTTCGGCTTTAGGACCCACACAGAACACAAGTTGAGCGCCTCCTGCTGGTCTCACTAACACCACTTCCAGCAGCAACCTAGCTTTCCCATGTGGTCTCCCATCCAGGTGCTGACCAGGCACAGCCCTGCTTAGCTTCAGTGGGCGACCAAGTGAGAGCTGAAGAGAGCTAGCTGCCGGCAAAGGTTTACTATGGTAAAGTCTTAAGCCTGATTTATACTTCTGCGTAAAGTGACCGGCGTAACCCACGGCGCAGGCAACGCGCGTGGCTGTGCATTTATACTTCTGCGCGCTGTCTCTGTTGGTCTGCATTAACACTTCTGAAACGCTTATTGGCAGTGAGGTGTAACTGTTCCTCTGTGTCGAGTTTCTTCGCTGCTTTTTTGCTTTTCCTGAACACTTCCTGGATGTACAAGTGGCTCAAACTCGCTCATTTTGAAGCAGGAACTAGCGGATGTGCAGCAACTTTAACTATAAGGTAAACACAAAACAAAACTTTCCATCCGGAGCTCCTTCACGGGACTCCACACTTGTAAACAATCGCTCCATTGGGCGCGCCATTCGCGCGACTCTCGGTCCCGCCCCGACTCGTCAGCGCTACCAAGCCGACCAATCACAGAGCTTGCGCTACGCGTTGTTGCGACGTGTAGTTTCATTTTTTGAGAGTTGCACATCAGTGACGGCGACGGCCACAGAGAAAGGCTATGCATCAGCGCCGTAGCATACGCCGGTGTTTGACGCAGAAGTATAAATCAGCCTTTAGTTGACAGATATTTCACAAACGTAGCATACGATGGACACATATTCCTTTTTTAGCTTCAGATGTGTATTCCATTAATATAGCAGGATTTAAAAACGTTACAACGATAATAATTGTATATTTTACAACATGTGGTTTCCATTAGTCAAATATTCCCTATGCAAGTTTGTTATAAAATGCCAGCAATTGAAATCTGAAGGTTGTGGTCTAAATGCCAGCTTTTAAATGAGAATCTCACTTAGCTCTATTTACATCTGGCATGTGAAACCCCAACATTTCGAGTTCAATCCTACCTCAGAATGTGTTTAAAGCAGGTTTAGGTAGTGTAATCCTCACCTGATAAACGTGTGCGATGAGCTGGTCAGCGCTACTGAACTCCAGGGAACAAAGAGGACAAACAAAACTCCCATGGTCAGTTCCTTCCTCGCTCTCCTAACAGACATGATGAACCAGAAAACAGATGAGGGCTTTGAGTAACAAGACCTAATGTGCTAGTAAATACATTAACTGAACCTTACGCCCCATTTACACTAATGCGATTTCGTTTTTAAAGGCATAAGTTTTGCTACGGTTACGCCATTCGTCCACACTACGCCGGAGTTCTGGAGCGCCGAAAACATAGCGTTTTGGAAATGCCGGAGAGGCAGTATTCATTCTAAAACGCTGCTGCTCCGTCTCAGTGTGGATGAGGGAATGGAAAACGGAGACATCAGAAAACGGAGGCGGGGCTGCTGAGATTCGCTAGCTGATTGGGGCTTTTGTGTCATTGCGTATCCTTCCTTTATTCGTCAAGCCCCTATCACATGACTATAACACATGTCTTTAACGCTACCCGAAGACAGCAGACCAGCCTTCACTGTAAACAACAACATGGACACAGAAATGGGAGCGTTGTTTGCACTATTGTCTGTTTTAGGTGCCATTGTGCAGTTATTCATTTGTTACGTTTAGTAACTCGACCACGTCGTCTGTCCACAAAAATACCTCTCTTGGTTTCTTTGCCATCGCGTTCAATGTTCAACCGGCGTCTGATGACTAACAATAACCAAATGCCGAGCGAGACACATGCTTTCTGTTTATACTACAACGCGCATGCCCAGAGTGCATCCAAATGAGTTGTTTACAGTGCACGAATGGTCACGTGATATACGTTTTTGGTGGCGTAGTGTGGACGAGATATGTTCAGAAATGCTGGGTGAAACGCTAGTGTAAATGCGGATCGTCGTTTAAAACGCCGTTTTAAAACTAAAACGCACTAGTGTAAACGGGGCCTTACGCCCCATTTACACGGGGCAAATAGGTATTATTCTCTAATATTTGAATATGGTTTTCGCACATTTGATCTTCTCAAGAAAACTTGACACTTAATTCATAATACGCGCGTGTGCACATGAGCTTTTTCTTCAACTCATTCTTCTGTTACTGAATTTGCAGTCTTGTAAATGAGCGCCTGCGTACATGAGGTTGGTAATTTGCATAATACATCTCAAACCAGCTCCATATAAAGGCTTTCCGCAAAGCTGCACTCGTTCAAAGAAAGATAATTATGGCACTAAAACGAAAGACGAATTGCTTTAACAGCATTATTAAGAGATTTTACTGTCAAAGGTGGATGGATGCTATTTTAAAAAGTTGCATATATCAATAAGGACTTATCCATAAACTGCCAACTTATCCAGCATATGTTTTACGCAGCGGATGCCCTTCCAGCTGCAACCCATCACTGGGAAATTCACACACATTCGCTACAGACAATTTAGCTTACCCAATTCACCTGTACTAAATGTGTTTGAATTGTGGGGGAAACCGGAGCACCCGGAGAAAACCCACACCAACACGGGGAGAACATGCAAACTCCACATAGAAACACCAACTGACCCAGCCGCGGCTCAAACCAACAACCTTCTTGCTGTGAGGCGATTGTGCCAACCACTTCATACATTTACGATAAATTTTAGTATGCAAATTTTTGATGAAACATGTCCTTAGGTATTTTTCACAGAAACATTAGTGCATACAAAGGTTTAGTGAACAAGACCCAGTGTTTGTTAAAGTAAACTGGTATTTCCTACTAACACACTACACCAAAGAAAATTAATAACTGACTTAAATGCATTTTTTGGTGGTGAAAATACCACTTTTGCACAGCACTGCAGTGTGATGTTTTTTTTAATACAGCATTACTGAACATGAGCGTTTATTCTCTGTAACTGATCATGAGTGTGGCTCCAGATGACGGATGCAGGACTGTGGCAGACAAATGCATGCATAAGCCCTGGTGACTCACTCCAACTGTCACGGCGACTGGGTTGCTATAGAGCGGTGAGTCAGCCTGCAAAAATATCTATCGACTTAAAGATGCCAACAAACGCTACGGTTTGATGACCAAGAATTCTGTCATACTCTTTGCCTCAAAATGTTATTAAGTCTTAGAAGTCATACAGGCTTGTAAATCAAATTACAATTTGTGTATTCTGGCTTTTAAAAGCGTTGGATAATTGGTTAGACTTTCAAACATTTTAATACAGGATGGAATTGTGGCACAAAAACATTGTTTTTTTGTTGTTGTTGTTTTTTTTGCTGTAAACTATACAAATTACCCAAAATTATTAGTAATTTGTTGTTTTTGTCTTTTTTAATTTTAGTTTAGTTAAATTAAATGTAAATATCACTTCATTAACTAACTCATAAGTTGGAGGATTGCATCCATACATCTCTGCAATGACTCAAATCACTGATTAATAAAGTCATCTGGAATGGCAAAGAAAGCGTTCCTGCAGGACTCCCAGAGTTCATCAAGATACTTTGGATTCATCTTCAATGCCTCCTCCGCTATCTAACCCCAAACATGCTCAACAATGTTCATCTCTGGTAAATGAGCTGGCCAATCCTGGAGCACTTTGACTTTCTTTGCTTTCAGGAGCTTTGCTGTGGAGGCTGAAGTATGAGAAGGAGCACTATCCTGCTGAAGAATTTGCCCTCTCCTGTGGTTTGTAATGTAATGTGCCGCACAAATGTCTTGATCCCTCAGGTGTTGATGTTGCCCTCCACTCTGCAGATCTCTCGTACGCCCCCATACTGAATGTAACCCCAAACCATGATTTTTCCTTCACTAAACTTGACTGATTTCTGCAAGAATCTTGGGTCCATGTGGGTTCCAGTAGGTCTTCTGCAGTATTTGTGATGATTGGGATGCAGTTCAACAGATAATTCATCTGAAAAATCGACCTTCTGCCACTTTCCCAAATGATCAACTAGACGTCAAGTTATTATTTGTTGCTCTAACAACTGGGATTGATGATGAGACTTTAGTCAGGTAGTGCATTTGTATATTTATTTATCATAATTATTTTTTTACATATATTTATAAGTAATACAGAAGTATATTTATAGTATTTTCATAATGTATTTAGTATATAATATATACTTACAAATATGTTTATTCAAATGCGTTTCAAAATTATTATAGTTTTATGGTTTTCATTTAGTTAACTATAATAACATTAATTTGATTGCAAAAATTAAAATAGTCTTTATTTACGCATTCAATTATTGTGCTTCAAAATTTTAAAAGAATAAAGTAAAGCTTGTAGATTGCTGGGACTCATTCACTTTCACTCGGACAACAATCCCATCACTATATGGACTACAAATCCTGTCATGCAGTTCACACACACACCTGTTCCGGATTTCCATTTATTACACACATATAGCTGGGAGCTACTCAAGGACTGATTTCATGGACTATAAAGACAACGGAGTTGAGGATCCAATTGTAGCGTCTTTATTGACAGAGAATGGTCAGGCAGGCAAGGGTCAATTACAGGAGCAAACAGAATGATACAGGGCGATTCATATTGCAAATTTTGAGGCAATATCGCGTTTTGTACCCCGACAAAGTAAATTAGTTATTAGTTTAATTTACTTTAGAGCTTAATTATTCCCCTTGTATGGTGCTTAACACAAATGAAACACTTAACATCAATTACGCACACAAAAAAGGAATTAAAAATACTACTAATAAATAAATCGTCAACTTTTTTTTTCAATAATTATTACATAACCGGATTGCTTCATGCACAAAAGTCAATTTATAACGATTCCTTTCACTCAGACTACATTCCCGTCACTATATGGACTACAAATCCTTTCATTCACTTCACAAACACACCTGTTCTGGATTTCCGTTTATTGCACACATACAGCTGGGAGCTACACAAGGACTGATTTCACGCACTATAAAGACAGCACACACACATACAGACATTGCTGAGTCTTGTTAGTGTTTACCCTGTTAGCATTACTATGCATTTTTTATGGTCTTGTTTTTCCATGCCATGTTTCCAGACCCTTAGCCTAAGTTACTAATATTTGATGTTAGCCGCCTGTACCGATCTTTTCGCCTGAGACTCGACTTCGCTTTTGGATTGCCCTGTATCATTCTCTTTGCTCCTGTGATTGACCCTTGCCTGCCTGACCATTCTCTGTCAATAAAGACGATACAATTGGATCCTCAATCCCGTTGTCAGAACCGTGTGTTACAAATAAACACAACTGTTCAGTACATTACCTTAACTTAAAAAAATTATGCATATAAAAAAGGCGCAATCGCATTTAAAAGGCATATGTAAAAGCTTATGTATTTTTTTTACAAAAGAAAAGGTAGGGAAGGTATCCATTTGAATTTCAAGAACTAAATATTAATAATATTTTGGAAAACTCCTAATTTTTTTTGCTATCTTCAAAATTAGGGCAGCACAGTGGCGCAGTGGGTAGCACAATCGCCTCACAGCAAGAAGGTCGCTGGTTCGAGCCCTGGCTGGGTCAGTTGGCATTTCTGTGTGGAGTTTGCATGTTCTCCCCGGGTGCTCCAAAAACATGCGGTACAGGTGAATTGGGTAAGCTAAATTGACTGTAGTGTATGAGTGTGTAAGGATGTTTCCCAGTGATGAGTTGCAGCTGGAAGGGAATCCGCTGCGTAAAACATATGCTGGATAAGTTGGCGGTTCATTCCGCTGTGGAAACCCCAGATTAATAATGGGAATAAGCCGAAAAAATATGAATGAAAGAATCTAAATAGTAAATAGTAAATCATCAAAACAAGAATGCTCAAACCTAAATTACTTTGCCAGACATTTTTACAGTGAAGGCTTGCCTACGTCACGCAATCCGGTCATGCAAATCATTCGATAAGAGAGGAATGCAAAATTATCACACAACCATCTCCTTCATGCATCTCTCACCTCCTTGACGTCATCTTGCAGTATGTGGCAGTGACTGCTCTTATTACTCGTCATGCTGTCATCAGCCGAGGCATTTGAGTCGTCGTCTTTATCGAAATCACTGTCACCGTCGTCTGGCAGCACAGGGGAAAAAAAGGCAGAATGTTATCAATGGCTCCATCACAGGTCACCTTGCTTTACTTTAACTGTACCCACACACAGCCGTCTTCCTGGATTTTGTTGTATATTTTATAAGCAAATAGAAAGCATAAACATTTATGTATGCCCCTTTTTACAAGATGTTAAATCCGATGTTCCTAGAGTGTGTATGTTTCAGCTTAAAATACCACACAAATAATGTTATATACCTCTTTTAAACTGACTCTTTTTGACTTTGATTCTGATTGTGCCATTTTGGTGACTGTCACTTTAAATTCAAATGAGATTGTGCTCTTTTTCTTTTAAACAATATGTGAAATGTAAAGAAACGAATAAGAATTTAGTCTTCAAACTGTGTATGCATCTCACCACTTGTGCTGTCTTGCTCTTCAGGTTCCTGTGAGTTGCATTCGCCGTCCTCAATGAAGTCGTCTCTTGCATCCATCTCAAAAGTGTGCTGCGGGCCGGACAACCCAGTCGTGTGAAAAGGCCCTGTGAGTGAAACCAGATGATCAGTGAGAGTTATTGAGGCGTCTCTCCATACACACCTCTGCTTTTAGTTGTTTTAGCTAAAATATGTTGCTTTGCTTCTGTTTACACCCAAGCTTAGGCCTGTCACAATACAAACATACAGACTTACAGCACCACACATGGACATGACCTCAATCATTTTTGGTAATGCAATACATAAATACCAACTCTAGCAACATTTAGCTGATTGAACATCTTTATCTCTATAGGAATTGTTAGTGTCAGTACGGTTAAAAATACTATATTGTTTACTGAAAATTACTATAGTATATTTATTATGTGGGTGTCTGACAACTAAAAACAGATCTGGTAGCAGATATCGCAGCCTCTGTTACCTTTCACCTTGCACTTTTTTTGTTAAAATGTATAATTATTTATTAAGCATATGCGTTATCACATTCTGATTCCAATGGTTAAATTGTTAAAATGACTATAAATTAAATATACTTAACAATAGAATGATCTTTTTAAGAGCGTACTTGCATCGTGATGATATTATATTGTCCTTCTGGCATTATATGACTCACGACAGGGGGAAAAAAAGGTCACTGGCAAACTGTCGTGAGTCGTCTGTGAATGTCTTATTAATTTGGACGCCCATGTATTTTTTTTAAATAAGACGTGATCCTCCACAGAGCTCGCTGAGGCCCCCTTGTGGGCTGGGACCCCCCTGTTGGGAACCGCTGTAATATACTATTGGTTCACCATAGTTAATACTACAGTATGTTGTAGTATTCATTAACAAAATGTTGTAATATATACAATATAATACACTTTACTATAGTATGGCTCAAATACACTATTAGTATTGACTAAATACTATAGTATTTTTTCATGTGAGCTTGGTTGTCTGATTAAATCAGAAAGACAGTTCATAGAAGATGAAGCAATAACTTGCTACAACAACAAACACAACAGATATATTTACCTCTCAGAAGAAAGTATTTGTGTCATGTTTATAAACATTTCTAAATTTCTCACAACTTTTGCGCTTTTTTTTTTCTGGTGAGTCGCCAAAAAATGAAAATTCTGTCATCATTTACTCATCACTGACTCCCATAGAGTTTTACCATTTTTAAACAAACTCGGCTCATCTCCGGGTCTGGTGGGGGCACTTTTAGCTTAGCTAAGCATTAATCATTGAATTAATTTAGACCATTAGCATCTCACTCACTCAAAAAAAAAAAAAAATCCTATAATTTTTCTATTTAAAGCTGGAGTCTTCTGTAATTACATTATGTAGAAGAGTCCAGCTGTAAATAGGAATATAATCGAAACTCTTTGGTCATTTTTGGCAAGATGCTAATGGTCTAATTCGATTTAATGATCTATGCTAAGCTAAGCTAAAAGTGTAGACGCCAACAATCAGCTAAATGGACACAAAAATGGTAAAACTCATCAGTTTAACTCTAGGGAAGTTATAAAATGAGCATTTTCCAAACAAAAATGGACTGTTCTATTAAATCGCAAGGCTAGTATTAAGACATTTAAGTCAAACAATCATCAAAATCATTAATTCGTTCATTATTCTACGGCTTAGTCTCTATTTCAGAGGGCGCCACAGTGGAATGAACCGCCATCATCGAAATCAAAGTCATAATTTTAGGATTGTGACACCAATCATTACTGTGTGATGACAAAACACAAGGAAATGGCTCAGGAATACCTTTATAATGTATTATAAATGCATGCACCACACAAAGTGTTCACTCAAAAAACCGCAATGCTTTCATCATCACTTCAAAAAGCCTGATGTAATCTGAATAATTCTCAATTTTTCTTGAATTTCCAAAAAAAAAAGACAGAGCACATCAACAACAACAGCATCAACGAGATCCAATAGTTGCAGTTAGAACAATAGTTGTTGCTGCATTAACACATTAGGAACACGCACAACATCCTCACGCTCACCAACCCCCACTATGAACACACACACACACACACTGCAGTCCCAGAGGAAACAGCCTGCATCTCCTGTGCTCTAATGTGAGAATCATCTCCTCCAGAAGCTCTCCGAACGCCCACATGGAGCCGCTTTTCCTCCCTCCACCCGCACACATCCATCCCATTACTCCATCACTGCCATCTACCAAACACCTTCTGCCGAGCCGCTTTAATGAGTGCACGAACGCTGAACGGCATACAAATACAAGGCGCTTTCTGTTGTCAGTGTGAGTGATGAATGACACGCTACTGTGTTCAGACAGGTTGACAAGGTGTTGCCATGGCGTTTGTAACAGTTGTAAGCAAATTGATAGAGTGCTATAATGGATATGCTTACATATGACTCATTCCAGAATTTCAGATACACACAAAGCATTTTCCACTCATTTAGCTTGAACTGGAGTTACAATCATTGACAGCAAATAGTGAATTAACAGTAAATTAAATTTATTATTAATGGAAAAGTATGCGGATTGCTTAATTGTAATGGGAAAGCAGTGGCTGTTTCTCAATACCAAGTACGCAAAGTTCGGACTTGCATCCTTGAAAGTTTAGACTTGCCAAGTTCAGACATAGAAGAATGAACTACCGAGGACGCGAGGACACGAATCGTGTACTTCTTCAAATGGAACGGCAGTGTACTTTATAACGTCATTTACCTCAGCCCGGATTCATCGGTCTCACTATACATTAACAATAAAATGATTTCATTATATAAAGCACGACCCTGTAATTAATATTATAATCTATATTTTTGATTTAAGAAAATGTAAACATAAGTCACTATGAATGTGAAGTGGAATGGGTTAATATACACAGACTCGTGTCTTTTATTATCTGATTTAATAAACTACAATAGACATTATTCAAGTATAACGTACAAGACGTACACAATAAGAAATAAAGATTAAGCAATTTGGTACCACATTTCTAGAACTGCTCGATCTTGCAGATTCGCACCCTATAACATCAGAAAGGTCCGACCCTTCCTATCTGAACATGCAGCTCAACTCCTTGTTCAAGCTCTTGTTCTCTCCAGACTGGACTATTGCAACTCTCTACTAGCGGGGCTTCCAGCTAACTCTATCAAACCTCTTCAGCTCTTCAGAATGCAGCAGCACGAGTGGTCTTTAATGAACCAAAAAGAGCACATGTCACTCCGCTGTTCATCCGTTTGCACTGGCTGCCAGTTGCTGCTCGCATCAAATTCAAAGCTTTGATGTTTGCTTACAAAGCGACTTCTGGCTTTGCTCCTTCTTATCTGCTCTCACTTCTGCAGACATATGTGCCCTTCAGAAACTTGCGTTCTGTGAAAGAACGTCGCCTCGTGGTTCCATCCCAAAGAGGGAAAAAATCACTTTCGCTCAAACGCTCACGCATTCAATCTGCCCAGTTGGTTGAATGAACTCCTGAACTGCAACAGAACAGAACGGCAGAGTCACTCTCTGTCTTCAAGAAACGACTAAAAACTCAACTATTTAGTCTCCACTTTCCTTCCTAATCTGCAATTGCCTCTCTGGATATACCACTAACTGTACTCAAAAAAAAAAAAAAAAAAAAAAGTACATTACTAATGCTTTTCTTCTTAGACTTTACACACCTGAAACTTGCCTACAGCACTTATTCATTGTTGCTCTTATAGTTATTGCTTATAATATTATAGTAATATTATAGTAAATTGCTTCCTTGTCCTCATTTGTAAGTTGCTTTGGATAAAAGCGTCTGCTAATTGGCTAAATGTAAATGTAAACAAAGACAAACCTCGGTAACATAATTAAAGACAATTAATAAAAGGTAACAAGATTACAATGCTGCAAAATATTACTCCTGATAACAAATAATAGATTTATAAGATCAAAAACTGTCTGTTAGATAAGCACAAAATTGATTAAATATCATGTATTAACTACAATGGACAGATGCAATCCAGCGGTACATCCATGATGTAAAGCTGCTCTCGGCGGGGGAGGTGATGACGAAGCTCCTGCTGACAGGCTGGGGGTCAGAGTCCGCATTAAGCCTGGTTTATACTTCTGCGTCAAGTGACCGGTGTAACCCACGGCGCATGCAACGCGCGTGGCTGTGCATTTATACTTCTGCGCGCCGTCTCAGTTGGTCTGCATTAACACTTCTGAAACACTAGTTGGCAGTGAGGTGTAAATGTTCCTCTGTGTCGAGTTTCTTCGCTGATGTTTTGCTTTTCCTGAGCACTTCCTGAATGTACAAGTGTGTAACAGTTTTCCTGTTACTATTTGAAATATCTACCTGTAGTAGCTATCTCACCCATTAGAGGGCGATCTAGGTAGTAAGTCTCCAATCTGCTTAAAAGGAGGTAGAGAAGAAGCAGTAGGCAGGAAGTATGGTGCCTAGCAAATGGAAAGGCTTCTTCACTGCGCTGTTGTTTGTTGATGCCCTTATTTGAGGAACATTTTTGTTCTTATACCTCAGATGTAAGTAGGCCTGTTTTTTTTGTATATATTTCGGTTTTGTACATATGTTTTGTGTAGGGTTGGCAAGGTTTTGATTGTATGTTTGTTTATATGCAGAGGGTTTTTGGTATCCACTTTAAGTCATCAAAACAGGACCTGGACAATCCATCCTCATATCCACAGACTTTTTCCATCCACTTTCCTACTGATTCCGTGGCCAGCCATTGATGAACTGTTTGCTGAACTTGATCTTTCATGTGATTCACTTAAGGACTGTTGGTATCTTTTTTGGATTGCTATAAATACTAGATTCAATGAGAAAGACACTTATCGAATGCTTATTTCTGTCTAATAGTGATCATTAATGAGTTGACTGCTGATCATTTCATATCCCCAGTGTGTAACAATAATTATTCATACCTGCTGTCATATACATTTCTAAATACACATGAATCTCTGAAAGTTGTTTTGTGGTCTCTCAATTTCTTTAATGTAGCTTCAAAAAAAAGTAGTTGTTACAAGTGGCTCAAACTCGCTAATTTTGAGGCAGGAACCGGCGGATGTGCAACAACTTTAACTATGAGGTAAACACAAAACAAAACTTTCCATCCGGAGCTCCTTCACGGGACTCCTCACTTGTAAACAATCGCTCCATCGGGTTCGCGCCATTCGCGCGGCTCTCGGTCCCGCCCAGACTCGTCAGCGCTACCAAGCTGACCAATCACAGAGCTTGCGCTATGCGTCGTTGCGACGTGGTTACATTTTTTGAAATGTGCACGTCAGCAACACCGACGGCCATGGCGTAGGGCTATGCGTCAATGCCGTAGCATACGCGTGCGTTTGACGCAGAAGTATAAATCAGCCTTTAGCTGAGTTATATCTCCAGAGACATGCTATCTTTATAAATAAACTGCCAATTCGAGTTTAAAACAATTACATTCTTGTTTGAAAAACTCTTAAAACTTTATTTTGAAACACAACAGAGGAGTATTTTTAAAACTGTGCGGGTTCTCTTCTCCGCCAATAGCTTTCGCTGGTTTCACAAGTCACCTATCGAAGCATCCTTTGCAAAAGCTGCTGAGTAATTACACATCCAGGAATATTATGTGTACTTGGCAAGATGTGAACTTTAAATTGGAACAGCACTTCGGCGACAGTTCACGAGGACACAAGAACGCAAGTACAGACAAGAACGCGTATTGAGAAACAGCCATTTGATTCTGTTACTCGTTGTTGTTTAAAACTGTTTTCATTTAACACTAACAATAGGGTTGTTACGATACTGGAATTCAATAGCAATAGATACTAAGATTTTAAAAACGTCCATTTCCCGCTAACATTCGAACACTTGAGCGAGTTCCTAAACAGCGCTGATTTGCCATTGTGTTCACATGCTCAACAGAAATGACTGTGACTGGCCTTGATCCTGAAATCTTGATTATCTGCTTCAGTGTGCTTGATTATGGTTGAGCTCTGCAGGATAGTATTCATCCAGAAGCAGGGTTGCAGATATCAGCTTTGTTTTAAAATAAATAAATATAAAATTAATTAAAAATACTTTTTCTAAAGGATCAGGACTTTATTTCATCTCTCAGTGGATACTTATTAATTACAGTGTCACTAATGGCCCGTTTCCACTGAGTGGTACAGTACGGTTCGGTTCAATTTTATGGCCGTTTCCACTGTCAAAAGGCGTACCAAACCAAACCGTACCGTACCACTTTTTCGGCTCCCTTTCGAAAGGATCCCAAACACAAAAAAGGGTACTAAAAGGCGGAGCTAGACACGCAGCTGAACGGTTTTGGTTTACAGAGATACGTCATTTGCTTACGCAACAAGCCAGAATGTAAACAAAGGACCCGCCATGTTTGAAATATACAGCGAGAGATTACTTGCCCTCACCGCGCGTCTATATCTGAAATAACTAACTTCTTGAGCTGATGATAATAACATGTGCGCTTGATTATTGACAAGCTTTGGAAACCCGATCCTGTGAGAAGCTGACAAACGCGAGAATGACACATTCAGAAAGAAAAGGGCAAACGCGAGAGTGGAGCGCTGAAAAAATGGAAAGCCAAGGAGCACGTCATTTCTTCAGCAAACGTGAACAAACTGCCTTGTTTTAATTTTTATCATCCCTTTTTGGACTAATATGGAAATGATGGAATGACTCTCTAACAGAGGCTACATGTGCTGCTGAAGATTACAGACACAGATGAGAGGTTTTCACAGACTGTAGGCTATACTTTGTGTTGTTTTGAACCTAATTAAGGACGAAATGTATGCTGTGTGTACTTTTTCTGTAGTTGGTAACATATCGAGGACTGTAAGTGTCTGTGTTCATATATGTTCATTTATTTGAAATAATTGCAGACGTTACAGTTGGCTATTTCGCACTGTCATTGATCTGCAGTTATAATCAACTCATGTACATTGAAAAGTTAGTAATAAACATTTATAAACAAGTATTTATGTGTGTAAAGCGTCTGTTTTGTGAGAAGTGCTTTTCATATGACATGTGAGCGACCTGTGCAGCTTTATTGTAGACATTTTCTCGAGCGAGCATGACGTCGACTGAAACTTTGTCATACATCACGCCCACCAAAAGGGTACCCTTGCTAGTGGAAACGCAAGCCTGACTAGGGTGACCCGTACGGACCCGAACTGTACCGTACTGTACCAGTCAGTGGAAACGGGCCATAATATCATTATAACCATCATAATCCAGAAAATATCATGATATATTTTTAACTCCACATCAGTCATTACCACTCCCAGATTCTTCAGGACAGTTTCAAGAGATGTTAGGAAGCATCAGCAAGGATGTTAGATCTTGCATGAAGGATTTCAGCGTTAAACTATGAGCGCTTACAACAGACCGGCTGGACGGCAGACAGCCTGTGATTGATGTAAGAGAGATTTCCATCCCCCACCGCCAGTTCTGTCTGTACATCTGTCTCTCCACCCTCCCTCCGTCTTCATCCACCCTCGCTCTCCCCCCTCCGTGTGCCACTGTGATGTTATCTCAGAGTCTGTGTGTCTGTAGGCAGGAGGTGACGCAGTGTCTGCCTGCATCCAGACAAAGAGACAAACTCATCAGACAACAGACACCAGAGAAAGGCTAAAGTCAGTGGAGGGGGGGGTGGGAACCAAACAGACAAAACTTAACTCGCATGGCAAACAATGAGAGCGCTCCTGAATTCAATCCATCCCTCCCACCACCAGCCCAACAGAAAACATTGCAGATACTGAAAACGGGGGGGATGCTCTGAATGATGTCTAGTTTGGTGAGGTGGAAGGATAGTCATAGACAGACATCAGATCAACTAATTCAACATCAACTTCAACTAATTCAACATCAACAACATCATCAACTAATTCAGGCTTAATTGACAAAACCCAGGCTTGATGGAGGAACATGATCTTTTATAGACATTCCCATGGAGAAAAATGTATAATATGTCATGTTTTCATGCAAAGATGCAAAATTTGACTCTTGTAAAACTGGAATAGCGCATAAAACATTTGCGAATCAAGTACCAATTCCATCCAATGAGTTCAACAGAACAAAATGGCCACTTCCTATTAAACTGGCACCTAATATCTAAAAGGAAAATGGCATTTGCTCCGGTAGAAGAGCCACTGTGGAGCTTTATTCTTATAAATGACTTGCTCCTCTGAAGACGAAACGCAATGAAAGCTTTGAAGGTGAAAGAGGCTCTAAGGGAGCACAGGTGGGAATCAGGGGGTGAGGAGGGTGTGTGACCGGGAGAGAGACACGCGATTTCCGGGAGATTATCACTCGCTTGCGGACATTATGAGTCCCGCAAATGCAAAGAGACTCTCAGAACTTCCAGGAGATTTGGGATGTCTGAATATCACGTGTTACAACTATAGTGAGACACGATCCAGCGGTACATCCTTAATAAACTGACGTGCATTGCTCTCTGTCTCTGGAGCTCAGAGGAGCGCATGACAGTGTGTGTGGCAGTCATGTGATGTGTGTTTTCAGCGGACGAAGGGCTGTTCAGAAATTCTAGGTAAAACACAGCGTGGCTGTGGATCATTTTTGTTCTAAATTGCCATTTTAACACTAAGACGTATTACTGTAAACAGGGCCTGACTGTGTATTTTTCGCGAGCGAGTTTGCAGCAGGACGGAGGATCGGCGATGGACGATGACATCGATAGGTTGGCCCAACCCTATCTAGAGGTAATACAACTGAACCACTTTGATGACAGACTTTGGCTGAGGGGTTTTAGACTGACCAAAACAAAATTTCAGATATTTTATAATGAAAGAGACAAAACTGAACTTGCATAGGAAACAATGAGAACACTCCTGAATTCAATTCATCTATGCATGATGGAGGAAAAGGATCTTTCCTAGACATTCCCATTGAGTCACAATTAGTCTGTCTGCAAAAGCCTCTACTGCTGCTAATAATCAAATTGATGGGTATAAAGTAAAGTTTACAGTAAACCCATTCATCACACAAGTTCAATCAACTTTTAGAGCTTCTTTTTGATCAGTCAGGAAATTCTATAAACACTCTAAAAAATTGTTGAGTTAAACATATTTGGTGCTTTGTTGGCTTATTTTTAACCTTTATTACGTTATTTATTAATAACTCATCCAGTTGAGTTGAATATTTGGTGCTTTGTTGGGTTATTTTTAACCTTTATTTGATTATTTATTTAATGACTCAATCAATTGGGGTAAAAACTTGGATTTCAACAGTCAACTGATTTAACACACAAATCAGCTGTATTAATATGGGTGCGTAATGTTGTTTTTGCGTTATAAAATTTAAGCTCTAACACAATAATGTTATTGTTTTTTATTAAATTACCTCTCCGTATCTTGTTTTTTATATTTGTTTCACCATTCAAGACCGTCTGAAGCGTTTGGATGTGGTTCAAATGTACATTGTGGACACTGAGTGAAGCCTGCTGCAGCTGCTGGACAGTCTCTGCAGCACACAGAGCTCCATATTCTGCTCCATCAACACAGGACTTTCTGCTTGCACAGTTTATAACTGTCTACTTGGTTCTGTTTCTTCATAGTTTGTGATTTTTGATTTATTTTAACAAAAGTGTCTAGAACTAAAATGTAATGGAAAAAAGCATTTTATAAAATTGATAGTAGAACTAGTAATAGTAGAATTAGTAATTTCTAAAATGGAAAAATAACTTTTGATCAAAATAACCCATGCATTGGATTAAAATAACCTATGGTTGGGAAAGTGCTATAATAAACTATAGTTGGGTTATATGTTGGGGTATTTTAAACCCAACTGTTACAACAGAGTTTATATATATATATATATATATATATATATATATATATATATATATATATATATATACGGCCAATTTAGTTTATCTATTTCCCTATAGCGCATATCTTTGAGGAGAATGTGCAAACTTCACTCAGAGGTGCCAACTGACCCAGCCAGGACTCAA